CGAGGGGCACAGTGGTGTCACTTAGACGTGCGGGACCTGGCTCCGGGAGCCACCAGGCCCCAGGGGAAGCCCGCGTCAGAAAGCGTCTCTGGACCGAGCGCCCATTGTTCTGGGGGCTCCCTTTGGACCTCTGTTGCAGCCTGGGCCTCGACTCTTGGTCACCTGGCAGCCTTGTTCCCAGACCTGACTCTCAGAGAGGCCTCTGCCTCCTTCCCTCTTGGCCCCTTGCCTGGCTCTTTGTCTGTGGCTCCTGTCCCTCATTTGTTTCCTGTCTGTCTCCCTCAGCTAAACAGAAGGAACCTTGCATGTCTTTCCACAGCTGCTACCTCAGGGCTTGAAAAGAGACGTGTCACGTGGTGTGCATAAGAAGTGCACATGAGTGAATCAATGAATGAATGAACTTCCAGGGTAGCTGGGCACAGGCACCCAGGGTGTGCACTGCACAACTCTGGAGGTCACCATTCTCAAAGATGAGAGAGTGGCAGTGATGATCAGAGGGTGTCAAGTGCATGAAGTATACCTTCTGATATGGTGGCCCATGCTCCTTTATGATGCCAGCCTGCTTGTCATCTGCTGTGGCCCCACTTGTCCCACTCACAAAGCCTCATTTTCATAGAATGTTCTACCTCAAAAGCCCCAGAGTCTGATAACTCTGATTCCTGGTCTTGCTTTGAGCAACACCATTGGTCACTCTGCCAGCTCGGGATGGTGGCCCTGAAGTGACACCCTCTTGGCTGATCATTTCTGCCTGGGAAAGGGGCAAGGCACAGAGTAGAGTACACAGGGCTGTGCGTCTTGGCCGAGCCTCTGGCCTGTGTGCCTGCCGCATCGAAAGAGCATCAGGCTGCGGGGTTGGGGGTGCTGGAGGATCACAGGCAAACCGCACAGCCCCACAGCAGGTCCCCGGCTCTCAGGAGACGGCGTGAGTGTGCCAGGGGCCCACATCAGCTGACCCTAAGGATCGCCTTTACCACGTGAGTCAGGACCAACCCGTGAAGGGCGAGGGTTTACCAAGGGAGGCGTGAGCGATCAAACCACAAAGGCAGAAAAGGATGATTAAAAAAACAAAACAAGGAGCTGAAACCCAGCGAGGGAGGTGAGAGAAGGGGGAAGAGCAGAGAGGGAAAGAGGCATAGCCTCCAGGACCGGGCGGCTGCTGACCCAGTTCTGTCCTGGAAGTTCTCTCTAGGTCTCCACTTCTCCATCTTTAAGGTGAAGGAATTTGCCCCGTGCAGTGGTACACACCTGTCACCCCAGTGCCTTGGGAGGCTGAGGTGAGGCAGGAGGACCTCAAGTTCAAAGCCAGTTTTAGCAATTTAGTGAGATCCTGGTGCAGGATAAAAAATAAAAAATGGGCTGGGGACGTGGCTCAATGGTTGAGTGCCTTTGGGTCCGATCCCTGGTACCCTCCCAAGAAAACCCCTCCTAAAATGACAGAGCGGAGCCCACAGATTCGCAGGACTTTGGTTGTACCCATGACAGCTTGAACTGAAAAGTCCTAGGCAGGGCTGGCTTCAGGCACAGCAGGCTCCAGGAGCTCACCAATGCCGTGGGTCTGCTGCCTCTTTTGCTTCCCTGTCCCCATCACTTGTTTCCAGGTGGGCTCTCCCTGGAGGGAGGAAAAGTGCTTCCACACTCTGACCTGGCAACCCCTGTGGGAGGGAAGGACTCTTTCCTGGGAGTCCCAGCAAAATTCTAAAGTTGAGTCTTGCTGGCCTGGATGGAATCACACGTGTGCTGAGCCAGTCACATGCATGGGCTGGAACTGGCCCACGTCCACTCTTGAATTGGGGAGTGGGGTGGGGTTGGGGTTGTCCCACCTGAAATACAGGGACTGGGAGTGAGATGTTGGGGGCACTTCCCAGGGTGATTTCTCTGGCCACCCTGGCCTCCAGCCCTGCTCTGTTTAACCAGAGAAGCTCGGTTGCTGTTTTTGTGTGTGTGTTGGTGTCTGTGAAAACCTTCCCGATCAAAAGTTTGAGCCGCTGTCAAGGGAGATGGGTCAACTTGATTGACAGGACTTTCACCACCCCAGCAGCTCCGTGCCCAGGGCCCCTTCCTGCAGGCGGCAGCAGCCATCTCAGGCTGACTGGGCCAGAGAGGAGCTCACCAAAGGATCTTGGGGGGCTCCCAGAACCCCAGAAAGGCCAGGGAAGCAGCCTGGGGCCTCTGTGGCCGGGAGCATGGCCTCTGTCACTGTCTGGCTTGCACCGGCAGCTCAGGAGGACGCCTCTGATTGGCTGGGACTTCTCACAGGCCAGCACCCAGCGGCAGGGCTGGCTGGGACAGCTTGTGCCGTCTCCCACCTGTTCAGCTCCTACCTTCCTCGGGGGCAGGTTCTGCTTCAAAGACGGGGAATCCCCAAACCTAAGGAAGGATGTCACTGTCACGGAGGAGGGAGACGTGAACACTCCTGCTCCTCCACAAGGAATTCTGGGTGTCCATGTCTCTGCAGAGAGGGGGTCTCGTGGAGCAGTCACCAGGGCCTGATCCGCCTCTCGCTCTGTGCCCCTGAGTAAGGAATCGGACGCAGCGACCTTGAAAAGTGCCAAGCTCGGGGCTAGGGGCGTGGGCGGGTGCCTGGGGCAGGGTCTGGATCCATCCTTCAAGCCCAGCAGAGCCCCCCCTTAGGCCAGGGGCCCACTGGACTTGCAGAACCACACCAGTCGAAGTGCCTTCTCTGACATAATAGTTAAAAACAAATTGAGTTCGATGTTAACACAGAAATGTTGAGAGGTGTCACACGCGAACTCAGGTGGCCAGCTGCTCTGGCAGTCAGAACCGTCTGGTAACACTGGAATCACACCCCTGCACTCACGGCCCAGATTGGAGAGGGCTCCAGGTTTCCTGGTCCCCCCCCCATTGCATCCAGGCTGGTACCCCTTGCCACCTATCATTGCATCTGTGCCCACGGTGCCCTTCGGTGGAATTAGGAGGAAGCACGTCTTCCTAGGGCTCTCCAGTGTGGGCCCTGCGTCTCTGTGTTGGCTACCTGACTGATGCCTGTAGACATGGAGGTGCTTGACTGACTTCCGCTAAAGGCGGGATGGGAGAGGGGCTCAGAGGTACGGTGGGCATTCATCCAACACTGACAGTCCTCTGCTAGCACAGGGAGATGTGCCAGACACACCCTCTGTCTTGGAGGCCCTGGAACCAGAGGGTTTTCTCGGGGCATCAGTGTGACTTCAGGCAGGTGACCTCCAGTGTTTAGCTGGGATTGCTCACCTGTCCAGTGTGGATAATAATAGTGAATATCTTATAAGGTACTTGGGAGGGACAATCCTTTGATTTTTTAAAAACATAAATCTAGAAGTGGAGGTGCAGATATTTAATTTTCAATTTGAAGTCTCCGTTTGTTAGGGGTAACTTCAGAGGTCTAGAGCTTTGCTCCTCAACACAGTGGGAAGACAGCAGCTTCAGCAGCCCCGGGGATCCGGTGGCCAGTGCAGAGTGGCAGCCCCACCCAGACTTCCCGCAGCTTGCCTGTGGGAAGCTGCATTTGAACAGATCCTGGGGGCTCCCAGGTCTCTAAGCGCCGCTGAGCACCTGGGCTGTGCAGACAGATGTGGGTTGGGATCCTGGCTCGTCCTGGGGTTGTTATGGGACTTGAGAACCTCGGCCTTCTCTTCTGCCTTCTGGGTGATGTGAGGAGCAGAGCAGGCCACTGGGAGCAGAGGAAGACGTGGGCGGAGGCCTGTAATCACAACAGGAGCTGCTGCAGGAGCAAAGGAGCAAATGATTCCCGCAGGCCAGGGGCTCTGGGTCCTCTCTTGGAAGGAGCAGAGGGAAGGGCTCCTTCCTCAACTGCTCCAAAGACAGTTAATGCTCCAAACCAAACTGGGCTTTCTCCAGTAGAGGAAAGAACAGCGGCCATGATGGTAATGAACAAAACCGTGGCTCCCCTGTGCGCCATCCCCTGGAGACCCATGGTGACATGGCCTTTCTCTGGACTCCTGCCTGTATCTGTCTGTCACCTGTCTTTCTGAGTTTTCTATTTGGAACTGGCCACTGCCACAAGTGCATAAGGCCAAGGGAAGATGTTAAGTCTCTTAGTTCACTGTTTTAAAAATTGTGCAAAAAGCATCCCAGAAGGCGCAGGCACCAGGAATCTGCATCTGCGGTGCAGTGAAGGCCTTGCGCGGGATGGAGAATTTCGTGACAGGTGTGCTAAAACAATTTCCTTTGCAGGGTGGATTTCCTGGCTGATTGCAGGATTTCCAAAAACACAAGGATTTCCAAGTGTGTGCAGGAGCTGGCTCAGAGGTCCAGGTCATCTGGCCCTGGCCAGGTGGGGTGGGTGGAGGGAGTAGACTCCCAGGCCCCCTTGGCTGTGCTGGGTGCCCCCCCCCGAGCCCCAGGCCTGGCTGAACTCCCCTCTCTTTGCCCCGCTGCAGATGGAGTAAGAGTCCTGCCTTCCTTCCGAGGGTGAAGATGAGGTTCCCACCTCGCAGAACGGTGTGTGTCAGCAGAATTCTTTTCTTCTTTTTATCGCCTTGGAGACATATGCTGACTTGGTCAAAATCACTTCTGCAAGATGTGACGGATGACGGATGAAATGAAAACTCCTGGCCCAGCGCTGGGAGGCCCGCGAGCCCGGGGTGTGGGCCCTGGGCTGGGGCCCCAGACACAATAACACCCCTCCCCACTCCAGGCCATCTTTGATCCTGGCAGAGGCAGGCCCAGGTGTGGAGCAGACTGGGGCAGATCGGATTACGGCCCTGGAGCCCAGAGCTGGGTGCCCTGGCCTGGGGAGCCACAACTGGGGGTGTGCCGGCTGCTGGGGAAAGAAGACAGGCCTGGGGGGGAGTCCCTGGGCCCTGGCCGCCCTGAGCTGGGGGCTGAGGGCCACAGTGAGGAGGGGAAGGCCACGATGGCCCTTTCATCTCTGGGCCCTTGTGGAGCACCGTGGCTCCCCTCTGAGTCAGGACGGTTTGGCTTTTCTCTGCTTGGCTCCTGCCTGCCCCTAAGCAGACCGTCATGAGAAGTTCTGTGGCTGTTAAACTCAGGAGGCTGTCCTGATAGGTCGCGTTCCTCCTTATCCAAGGGGTACGCGTTTGTCCGGGGGGGTTCTTGGTGCCCGTAGTTTCTGAAAGCTCACAGCAGTCTGAGGAGCCAGGTGCTTCAGGTCCCCGTGGGAGAACTGAAATACACCAGGCTGCCCCCTCCCACCCAAGGCTTTCCCCCAACAATCCTGAAGCCTTTCCTGGTGCCCCAGCTCCCACACCATCGCCAGCTGCCCCTCCGCAGCACAGTGCTGGCCTGAGGTTGGCATCTGCACTGGCTCACAGGCATTCCCAACCGTCAGGCGCAGCTCTGGGGACTTCTTTGGGGGAGGAAGCAGAAAAATGAAAGAAGCTGCCCCTCCCCCAGCGTGATCACAGGGAGATAAGGCTAAGGAGGGGGTGCGGGAGTTCAGAGGGAACCTTATCTCCCCAGGGCTTGGGTATGGAGAGCTCCTGCTCTCTCATGTCTCCAGAGAAAAGATGCTTCTCGGAGGGGGTGAGGGGCCTGGGAGTCTCCCTAGCCAGGACCCTGCACGGCAGCCCCAGCCAACCCCCAGGCCCCTCCCTTCTTTAGGTTTGCCTGTGCTGATTGCCATTCACTCAACAGGTAGTTATTGAGCACCTGCCATGTGCCAGGCGCAGGGGAGATGCACAAAGAACTCCAGAGCTTGCTGCAAGGCCTTCCCTGCCGCTCAGGGAGGACAAGACTGGCCCCGGGACAGACTGGCAAGCATATGTAAATCATATGTAAATTGCAGTGCCCAGGGTTGCTGCCCTGCAGTGGACCAGCCTTACTTGCCAGTGAGATGCCCACAAGAATTGGAGGGTGGGTTAAAAGGCAGAGAAGGCTCTGGAAGGAAGCAATCTCTTTGTCCGGCAAGCCAACACTGGGCACAGGCAGGGCTGGGCGGCAGGCCTGCTCTCTGTCTCCACATCCTCTGCCTGGGATGCAGGTCAGTGGCAGCCCACCCCCATCGCCTCACCATTTTCACCTCCCCCTCCCTGTTGTCACTTAAGACAGGCTGAAGTGCCCTGGCTTTTGAGTTGCACATTCTCTGATGGACACTGGACACCAGTGACACTCCTGCCCCTCCCCAGTAGTCTCTGGGTCAGATCTCCTCACTGCACAATGCCATACCTGGTGTGCCTCCTCTGCCCGCTCCAGCACCCTTTCTGGAGAAAGGTGATGGACAAGCACACCTCTGCCCCAGTCCCCAAACCGAGCTGAAGGCTCCTGCTCCGTCTTCTGGGCCTGAACTCGTTTCTCCATGGAGGCCGCACACCGGCCCACTCTCCACTGTGTCCTCCTGCCCAGCACTGGACTTGGCAGTGGGACTGGCCACATAATGTTTGGGGTCTAGTGCAGAATGAAAATGGGGTCCTTGATTCATTGTTTATTAAGAACTGCGGTGTGGTGACTGTGCAGCAGGAGACCAGGGCAGCTGCACAAGTTGCAGGCCCTGGGCCACCCCGCCTAGCCTCGGTGCTGAGGGAGAAGTCAGGAGCGTGGGGTGGGAGCGGGCCTTTCTGTGGGCCTTGACTGGCCAGGAGCTCAGAATCCGTGGAGTCTCCCAGCCTGAGGCCGATGTAGGAATGGCTGGCGCCTGCAGACTTCAGGTTGCTGCTCCTAACCTGGCCTCAAGCCTCCCAGGCTGCCATGTTATCTGAAAAACCCAAAGGGAGACCCACAGAGCCTCATGCAGGCTACCTGTGCTCAAGGAAACTGTAAAAGACCAGGATGTCTTCCCCAGCCCTCCTGCTCCAGTCCCCAAGAAAGGCCTAGCCAGAGTGTCCCCCAACAAAAGCCCTTTTCCCAAGCTCAGTCCCTCACTGATGGCGCCAGCCTGCCCCAGGATTCTCCATGGAAGCCCAGCTTCTGGGGGGGGGGTGCATAAGGGCCAACCTGGGGTGAGGTTCAGTCTTACAGACCAGGAAACAAGCTCCATGGAGAGGTGATGCCCTCAAAGTCCCCCAGAGCAGAGATCTTCAGTTCTGAGTTGTGAGGGGGTCTGCGTGGTGGGGTAGGCCAACTGTCCTTTGTGATGGACAGAAGATGAGAGGGAAGAGGAGGGAGGTCTCTGGGCTCAGCCCCTGGGGGGCCCTACCTGCAAAAGCTGTGCTCTGGCAGGGTCTGGGGCGGACTGGAAGGGTGGGCTGGGGGACCTGTCTCAGGTTGAGGGAATGGTCTCAAAGCCTGGCAGGGCGTGGGGGACAAAGATTTCTCTTCTGCACTCAATGAATATGGAATGTGTGGCCACAGTGGCTCCCAGGTTCAAGGCACCTCGAGCACAGGAGCTCCTGGGTTTCTAGGGAGGGTGACAGGAGGACAAAGACGACGTCATTCCAGACAGTGAGAGAAATCATAGAAAATCAAACAAGTGTACGTGGGGTGAGGGGAGGAAGCGACCTTAGCTCTGCTGGTCCGAAAAGGTCTCCTGCAGGAAGTGGCACCTGAGGGGGGGGAGGGGACCGAGAGAGTTCCAGGCCTGAGAAGGGCCAGCGCGAAGTTATGCTGCGGGAGCTGTGGAGGGGTCGAGTGGCGGGAGTAGGGGGAGTGATGGGAGAACCAAGTGACGAGTCGGCGCCAAGGGTCGCCGCTCCCTAGCAGCCAGCTCCTATTCCCGCGCTTCCCCCCAGCTTTCCTTTCCCCACCGCAGCCCTACTCCGTGGGTCGGCTCAGACCTCCTTCCTGGTCCCAGCTGCGAGTCCCAGGAGGGCAGGGCCGGCACGGATTCCTCCCTCCGCATCCCCACGGCTATCGTTCCGGTACTGGGCACGCGGTGGGCGCTTGGTAAATATTTATCCAGCGCACTGTAAGGAATGAATGAACCCATTGGGCACAACTGGGGGAGGGCGGGGCCGAGGGCAGGTGGGAGGCCGCCGGCGCGGGAGGGGCCCTGGAAGCCCGTCCTCCTCCACCTCCTCCTCCTTCCAGGCCCCAGCGCGTACCACTCCGGGGCTCCGGACGCGGCCTCTCGTGCGATCCAGCGCGTGCAGGGCTGGAGGGGCGATTCCGGGCTCTTGCTCTCCGCGCTAGAGGTCGGAAGAGGGTGGGTCGCCCGCGCCCGAGGGCGAGGGCGGGAGAGGAGCCGGAGGAAGGAGCGCTCGATCGCCGCCGCCTCTGCCTCCCCGGCACTCGCTCTCCGGACTCTTAGGTTTGCTGGCTGCTCCTCCCACCCGCGCCCGCCTCCTCGCTCAATCGCTCGCTCGCTGGAGCTGGTTTCCAAGCCCTGTGGTGCGTCCCGGCAAGTGCGGGGCGAGGGGCCCCGACCAGCGCCGAGCAAGGGGCGGGGGTCCGGGCAGAGCTCAGCGGGCCGGGGAGTGGCCATGTCTGGCGCGGGCGCAGCGGGGCCCGTCTGCAGCAAGTGACCGAGCGGCGCGGACCGCCGCCTACCCGCTCTGCCACCTGGGGCGGCGCGGGCCGGGGTGCCGCGAGCCCGGATCGCGCGTAGAATCGGCGCGATGCACGTGCGCTCGCTGCGCGCTGCGGCGCCACACAGCTTAGTGGCGCTCTGGGCGCCTCTGTTCTTGCTGCGCTCCGCCCTGGCCGACTTCAGCCTGGACAACGAGGTGCACTCAAGCTTCATCCACCGGCGCCTCCGCAGCCAGGAGCGACGGGAGATGCAGCGTGAGATCCTCTCCATCTTGGGTTTGCCCCATCGCCCGCGCCCCCACCTCCAGGGCAAGCACAACTCTGCGCCCATGTTCATGCTGGACCTGTACAATGCCATGGCGGTGGAGGAGGGCGGCGGGCCCGACGGCCAAGGCTTCTCCTACCCGTACAAGGCCGTCTTCAGTACCCAAGGCCCCCCTCTGGCCAGCCTGCAAGATAGCCACTTCCTCACCGACGCCGACATGGTCATGAGCTTCGTCAACCTCGGTGAGTGAGGGCAGGAGGGAGGGGTGTGCATCTGTGTCAGGGACGCTTTGGGACAGGGAGGGGACCTCTTCTTACTTCCAGCCCGCCCATCTTTCCATTCCTGGCCGTTTGCAAAACCGCAGTGCCTGACCGAGGGTCTCCCACCCCGGGCCCCAGTGGACTCCAAGCTGAGCGCCCCCTACCCCACCCCAGGTAGTGAGGGCCGGGCTCAACTTGGTCTGTGGGGGTTACTGGGAGGAAGGGATCGGTCCGAAGTCTCCTCGGCATTATGCCGTCGGCCCATCTCCTGGGCAGGAGGCGCCCGCCCGCCCCGCCGCGGCTCAGTTCAAAGAGCCGGGCTGGGTCATGTGAGCTGTCCCGGGCCCGCGCGGCCCGCGCTACCTGGATTTAAAGGGCCCTTTTCGGCGAAGCTGCCTTCCGGCCCCTCCTCGACCCCTCGGAGGCCTGCCTGGCCGGGGCATCGCGGTCGTCGCACTGCCCTCCCCGCCGGACAAGCCCTACCTGCTCCCTCGCGGTGCGTCCGCCTTAGCCTGCTGCGCGCCCCGAGCGCCTCCGGCCCCTCGCCCAGCCGCCGGGCGCCCACCTCAGCTCTCTTGGCTGGAGCTGGGGAAGAAACGTTGCCATTGCGAGCTATTTTAAATATTTAATGATAGGTCCCGGGCGGGCAGAATCCATTTTCAGCGTTTATCACGTGTGGCGCGCAAACCACGGGTTTTAGCCCTGGAGTGGCGCGGGATCTCCGAGCAGCCGCCGCGGGGGTGGCTGGGGGGCCTGGTTCCCGACCCCTGCCTCAAGGACCCCGGGACGTGAGGCTGGGGCTGCAGCGCGCCCGGGTGGCTCCCCCTCCCTCTTTGCTGCATGTTCACCGGACTCGCTCAAACTAACCCCCGGCAGCGCGCTGTAGGACTGACGATCAAATATTTGGTTTCCGAGATAACGCGCCCGGATAGTGCTGTTTCCTGAGCCTCTTTCATTCTACTTGTGTAACTTGCTGCGAAAACCCCGAACTAAGTCAAGAAGGCAAACACGCCCACGGGCGCTGTGTCAACTTGGAAATAATGTTGCTCGGAGCCCCACGCTGGGCACCTGGGGCGTGGAGGGGGCGCTCCGGGAAGCGCGGGTCCGCCTGGAGGCTTCCATTCCAGATAAGGTCCCTGGGGTTCCCGGGAGCCCATTGTCTGTCCTTAATAATAGTCAAAATCAAATAGTGAAATGAGGTTCAGCAAGCAAGGGGTGGGGGAGGATGAGTTGCCAGAGTAACTGAAGGTTGACACTAAAGCAATCAGGTAAGAATGAGGCAGCCCCCTATGATCTGGTTCACAGCCATCTTCCAAAAAGTATGGGAAAGCGCAAGGTGCGGGCTAGTGAGGTGACACTTGCTCTCCTACATCATCCCTGCTCCACTGGAAGAGGACTTGGTGAACTGGAGAGAGATTTTACTGGGCTGGGGGCGGGGCTTAGGGTGATGGGAGCTTGGGTCTGATTTTTCATTGTCTGTGCTGTTGTCTTTGTGAGATTTTAACCTGTGTATTTATTAGCAATAGCCAAAACCAAAGGAGAATTCTAAATCCATGCATATCAATACAATAATGAATGTCAGAGTTCTGTAGTTTTCCTGAGGCCAGGGTTGAGGAGAGTCCTTTCCTGGGGGAGGTGTGTGTGTTGGGGGGGGGAGGCGTGTATTTATGGCATCTCCTGTTCTGCTTAAGTCCTGTGACTCTCACTGAACACAGCAGGTCCCAGTGGATGCATTCAGAGCCTGGCTAGGGTCATTAAAAAAGTATTTGTAATCCCTGGCTTCTGTAGCAGGCTCTGCAAACCCAGCTCAAATAGTGCCCTGGTGCTTCTGGATCTGCATCCCAGAGAAGGACCAGGCTGCTAACTGGGTACTCCTGGGAACTTTGGGGCAGGGCCTGTTGCTCCCCCCAAGGCTTTGGGAGCAAGCTGGGACTTGCTTGGGCAGGCCAGAGCTGGGTGGTTTTCCTCCTCTGGCTGTACACCACCTTTGAATCCATTTCTTTCATCTTGAAAGGACAAAGACCAGCTTGTCTGAGCCTCTTAATCAGTCGGGCTGGCTTGGGCTTTGTGGGACGGTCCTGACTTTCTCAGGTCTAGCTTTCTGGAACATCACTCCAAATTAGATGGCAGAGTGGCTTTTAACAGCATACACTGACCCTTATTTTCTTTTCCACTCTGTCCCTAAATTAGTTAGGGGAAGACCTGGGCTGCCGTTTGGCAAGAGGCTTCCGGTAGGTGCCCCTAAGGGGGTGGCCTTTAATTTCTGCCCAGGATTTAACTAACTGCCTGTTCTTTCTGTTGTGCATGACTTGAAATTTCTCCATAAGAGGGATTTGAGGGTGACAGTTGGGAGAGGGTGGGGGGTGGGATGAGTCTGCTGGGCCTGTCTTTCCTGGGACTGCCAATCCTGTTGACCTGCAACAAGCAACGTTTTCTAAGGCCAAGTTTATTCTCACGTTGTCCCTAAGAGTGAGAAAGTTCCACATGTTTGTGTCCAGCCCCGGCTTGTTACCATGGGGAGGATTTCTTGGGCCCACCGTGAGGGTCTTGGGGGGCGCCGCTGACTTACTCTGCTGCCCCTCCCCCTCCGGCATACCTCTGCTGCCCGGCCAGGCTGCCTGCCTGGGGACCCCTGCCTGGATTCTGAAGGCTTTTGCAGACCTGGTGCCTTTATTCTTCCTCTGTCTGCAGCCAAACTGGTTTTTGTTCCTATAAGTCGTTCTTGGAATCCGAGCTTTTTGCCAGGCTGAGCGGGATCTAAACTAGAGGGGAGATTTTACGACAAAACCAGGTGCTAGGAGTGGGAACTTTAGGCTGCACCCATGACAAAGATCAGGGTGTGAGCAAGCCCCGTGGCACTCCAGCTGAGCTACAGGAGGGGGCTCACCTCCTCCCAGCCTGGCCCCCTTAAGTTCAATGGCAAGATTTGTAAACTGGTTTGGATTAACAAGCCCCTGACTCCTCTGGGTAGACTTAATTTTGGAATTCAAAACAGGCTACCCTCTTTTAAAGAGTCCCCAGGCAATGGCAACCCTGCGGACTGCCTCTCCGACTCTGAGTCCTCCCCACTCTTTCTTTGGAGAAACCCAGCAGCTCTGTTTGGAATCTTCTGAGGACGCCGGCTGGCATGGGGTGTGCGACTTGTGTTTATCTCTGGGTCAGGTTATGAAGGAATGAAATTTGTTTAATCTTCGAAGCTAAATTGAAAAAAAAAAAAGGAGAAAGTTGGAAACCTATCATTATTGGAGTCAGCGTATAAAAGTGGCTTTTGTTAATGCAGCCTGAGAGGAGGGGAAGGGCGTGTAGTTCTGAGTTTTGCTTTATACCATCTGGCTATCCTTTTTGTTGACAAGTGTTTGGCATTACGAGCTCTCCTTTTGCCCCTTCGGAACAGGCCCTACCACTGTAGAGTATTAGAGAAAGATTCTGTTACAGTTTAGAAACGTCCTTCAGGGAGTGCTCCGCGCGCATGGCCGCAGGCATCTGCAGCTGTAACCTGGCTTGTGTTAGAATTTGGAAGGGGCTGCTCCGCATTCCAGCCCTGCTCGGCCCTCCCTGGTAAGCAGCCAAAGGTTAATATAGATGTCACACAGGCTTTCCTCTTCTTTCTTCCTCTCCTTCTTGCTACAGGAGTGTACCAACAGCTGTGTTTTTAGTAACCCTTTCAAAATCACTTCTTTTAAACCTCATTTTCCTGCTTATATAAATCAAAGATTCTCCCCCCCCCTCCCCTTTTCCCAAGGATACATGTGACCCAGATTTGAACTTTTTGGATCTTCTATGTATTTGCCTCCTGGAGTCAAGGCAAGGTCCGCCTGAGCCCTTGGACGCCAGCTTGGATGGCTGCTTTGGGTTTTTAACTCCAGGTGGTCATTTCTCTTGTGCTGCCCAAAGGCCCAGATAAGAGCTGGTTCCGGGGCATCGAAGGGGGATGATTTCTTTGCATCCACAGAGAGGAAAGCTCTTCTGAGATGCAGCTGGTGAGAGCTGAGATTCAGGCCTCACCTTGGTGCTGCAGACACATCAAGCCTTCGCCCAGATAAACACAGCTGGTGGACGATCCCCTGACCACCGGCATGCCTGCGATGTGAGCGAAGATCACATGTCCGCTGATCTCGGAGGCAAGTGATGATTTCATTCCAGGGAGAGTCCCGTCTAAGTTGATTGATCACGCGTATCGCTTTAATATCTCGCCCTCCCCCCCCCTCAGTAAGGTCATATTTGGCCCATGGTGAGCATCAGAGTGTCCTAATGCTGCCCTCCTCCGCCCTTCCCCAGCCTGCCCAGGCATTGCACGCTGGGGATGGGGAGCCCTTTGCACCAAACTGCTGGCCGCGGTCATTTCTGGAGTTCAGTCTTGGGAGTTAGCTGGGGGCTGTCGACACGCTGGTTTCTTGGCGTTGCTGCTGCAAAGCTTCGCCTTAATGCGCTGTGGCAGTGTCGCTGGGTGAGGGCACAGGCAGGGATGTGTGGGACCTGTCATGTTATTGTCAGCAGGAATGTGAGGATTAGCCTTGGAGCTGGTGGTGGGGAGTGCTGCAGCTGTGTACACTTATTATGAAAGATTTAAGCCCCACTGGTAAAATCAATATATTGAGTTGCACGACCCTCTGCTTTTAATTAGTTTAAATCAAATGCGCTGGTGCCATTGTGCCTCCCTTGCCTCCGTGGGGTGAGGAAATACCAATATTTACATAGAAACTGTTAATTTGTGGTGAAAATGATAACACATTTAGCTTTACACACCCCAACGGCTCCAGCCTGATGGATCCCAGATCGGTGTGGACTGGAGGGCTGATGTCATCGGGATGACGGAGCAGGGAGGAGGCGCGGGTGACATCTGGGGCTTGGGTCCCAGATGCCAGGACGCAGGTGGGTATGTTTTCAGAGGCCGGTCCTGGGGAGGCTGGGCTTGCCAAGACTGGCAGGTCAAATACTGGACCCCCCGTCACCCGTCTAAGATCCTTTCCCCTAGCAGTTTT